CCGGTCGTCTTTCATCTTTGCGAACTAGGCTAGGTTCTGTGGTCTCTGGTCTATCTTGACATTCGTCAGATGTCTTTTTCGAAGGTCTCCCGTGGCTGTCAGCTGGAACTGGCTGAACTTCTTCAACGTCGTATAGCCAAGTGGGTGCCTTCTCTTTAAGGTAGGACTGGAGACGATCATGGTGAATAATTCTTGATTTGGATCGAGGACTCTTCTGGATCTTGTACACAACATCACTGATCCTCTTCAGGACAAGGTACGGGCCTTCCCACGGAAGCTGTAAGCAAGGTGAAACTCCCTTCCTCCTCTTCGGGTTGTAAAACCAAACTGGTGCTCCTCGATCATAGTTTTTTTGGTTAAGTCGTTGGTTGTACTTTTTCTTCTGCCTGTCGCTTTCTGTTGTCAAGTGTTCTCTTGCGTAGCCATGCACCTTACGGATCTTATCCTGCAAGGAACGTGCATAGTCGCAAGTGTTCGTAAGATCTTTTCCTGACTCTGGAGCACCAAACATGAGATCTACGGGAAGTCGGATTTCTCTACCGAACATTAACTCGCTTGGGGAACAACCAGTTGTCTCATGTACAGATGAGCGGTAAGCCATCATAAGCAAGGGTAAGTGGCAATCCCAGTCACTTACATTGTCCTTGACAAACTTTGAAAGCATGTTCTTTAGGGTACGGTTTAGCCTTTCTACCATTCCATCAGATTGGGGCCTAAGAGGAGTTGTTCTTGTTTTGTCTTAACCAAGAATGTTTAAAACCTCCTTGAAAAGGGAAGACTCGAAATTGCGCCCCTGGTCGGAGTGAATTTCCATAGGAACTCCATAACGAGAGATAAATTCTTCTGTTAGAACACGAACTACCATCACTGCCTCTTGCTTTGGGATTGCGTGTGCCTCTGTCCACTTTGTAAAATAGTCACTAATGACCAGAATGCACTTGTTCCCTCGATCTGWCTCCGAAAGCGGCCTTGTGATATCTACTACAATGCTTTCGARCGGTGCACCAACATTGTACGTTTTCATTCCAGCTTTAGGATTCCCTGGGGGTCCAGCTCGCTTCGAGCAGGTGTCACAGCACTGACACCATCAACGAACGTCTTGGGAGTACCCTGTCCAGTAAAAGCGGTCTTTAACTTTTTCAAATGTCTTCTTAGAACCGAGATGAACAGAGTGTTATGTAAATGTTTTAAAACTTCTTGCCTGTAAGGTGGTGGTAGCACCAATTGTAGAGAGATGTCTTGTGTATCGGACTCCCATTGTCTGTATAGTACGCTATCCTTAAGTAGCAGTCTATCCCATTGGGCCCAGTACGATTTAACAGAAGGGTTCTTGCTAGAAATGCCACACCAGTTAGGACGGCTTTCATTYTTTTCCTTTAGTTGGATTATTGTTCCAATAGCCTCRTCTGCCCTTTTTTCTTTACACAGATCCTTCAATAATCATAGGTACCTCACTCATGGCCAATATAGACCAATAGAGTCGAATGGTAAATAGTCTAACTCCATTCGTCTCTATTGGTGGTCAATTCTAGATTCATTCTGACTTCAAGAAGTCATTTGCAGTCAAAATCTGTTCATATGGGATCGCTGTCTTAATGACGATTCGAACCATTGGTATAAGATAAAGTCCACTCGTATATGAGGAATTCAATTGGTTGACGCCACAACAACCATCCATCAAATAATCCATACATGCTTCGTTCCTAAAGCCATCTGGGATCCCTGTCTTAATAACGATATCTCCTCACCTCTACCACAACATCCCGAGGTCACGAATAGATACCAATCGATCCATTGGTATAAGGTCAACTCCACTCGTATATGAGGAATTCAATTGGTTGACGTCACAACAAACCATCCATCAAATAWKCCATMCATGCTTCGTTCATAAAGCCATCTGGGATCCCTGTCTTAATGACAATATCTCCTTTCCTCTACCACAACATCCCGAGGTCACGAATAGATACCAATCGATCCATTTGTATAACATAAAGTCCACTGGTATATGAGGAATTCAATTGGTTGACGTCCACAACAAACCATCCATCAAACAATCCATACATGCTTCGTTCATCAAGCCATCTGGGATCCATGTCTTAATGACGAGATCTCCTCACCCCTACAACAACATCCCGAGGTCATGAATAGATAGCAATCGATCCATTGGTATAACATAAACTTTATATCAGCAAAAAATATTTCTCACGAATGCATTCCATTTGAACTGCTATGTTCTCTTGCAAATGCTATGTTCATCTTTAGTTATTTCGAAAAATTATTTAACCTTGGTTGGAATGGATTTGATGAGCTTCATAAAATATCACCGGAAGTCGTTCATGCGCATTTGAAACTGCGAGCTTAATTGGATTGAGTTCTAAGCCATCACTTATCARCATCTTAATGGYGCACGAGTGCAGYCGGCCTGTCACGGTGTACTTGAATAACAATCAAAAATCAGGTAGAAATTCATGACATCGTTTATCATTGATTAAAGATATATTTCTTTTACAACAAATATCTTCACATTTTCACTGAACTGTTAAGCCTTAGTGCTCACATATTTTAGGGGCACATRTGCACTTTACGTTCAATGTCTCTTCTTCACTTATGACAGTAGCGTAAATACATAGATCGAAAAGTTTCACGTGACGTTTTTCTATATATTGTTGTGCTTTTCTGCTAGGTGATATTTAATTTATGAAGCCCTATGACCTCAACGCATCACGGATGAAAAATGCTGCATTCATGTTTCACGSAAAAAACAATCGGACTATATGAATCACGTAAGAGRTATAGGGGACCACTTTGTTGAAGAATAGGCTGTATTAATAACTATGAATCCATGCATAACCATGAATGCTATGAAGACCCACTTCATTATGAAACCCTTTTGAACAAATGAAAATGTGACACCGTTCGAAAGAATGTTAATGCAAAATTACCTTTGTGTTATTAGAAGTAAGTTTCCGCGCGCGCTTATGAGATCTTCTCAGAGCGCGCGGTCATTGTTTTTATGTTGTTTTGGAAAATGTAACGTTTCTTCAAGCAACACACATCCCACCAACCATCATAAATTATATTTCTCACACTGACACTCACGGGCAAATCTCATGAAATCTGTCTCATTCATAACCATGACGCCAAGTTAATGATTCACCAATTGAATTCCATCGATACTACCCGTATCTCCCTATCTCCGTTCGAACCAATGGTACAAATAGTGATAATTGAGCCATGCTGCATGACCCTACTAGAAATTAATRCATAGCTGCACAGGGATACCGGTTCTCACAGACACGTGCATTGCGTGAGTAACAGATATCACAAACGTAAAGGATCACACATGGTCAATATTTCAGAGGAACGAGGCAAAGTTGATYATTCACCAATTGAATTCCTTCGATACGACTGGTATAAGACCGTTACCAATGGTTCGATCGGGACGAATGGTGAAAATTTGGAGGCCTAACAGAGATGATGTCACACATGCACAGGGATAGCAGTTCTCACCCAAACACGRATTGCGTTACTAGAACAGATCCCACCAGAAGAAGATTGCACAACTTCTCTATTTCATACCAATGAAAGCAAGTTAATCATTCACCAATCGAATGCCTTCAAGACGACCGGAAGAAGTATATCACCAATGGTTCGATCGATACGAATGGTAAGACTCTTGAGGTSTTCATACAGATTAATGCACAGCTGCACAGGG